CCTTACTTTCATGTAATGAGCTAAACAAATGTTCTATAAAACTCAGTTTTGTCAAAAGTTTGGAAATTGTTCTTGTGTTCATTGAGATATTGATCAAATTCTTACTTTTCAAAAGGGGTGTAATCATTAATGCTGAGCACTGAGCACCACATACAGTGGGGCAAAAAGTATTTAGTCAGCCACCAATTGTGCAAGTTCTCCCACTTAAAAAGATGAGAGAGGCCTGTAATTGGCATCATAGGTAGACCTCAACTATGAGAGACAAAATGAGAAAAAAAAAATCCAGACAATCACATTGGCTGATTTGGAAAGAATTTATTTGCAAATTATGGTGGAAAATAAGTATTTGGTCAATATCAAAAGTTCATCTCAATACTTTGTTATATATCCTTTGTTGGCAATGACAGAGGTCAAACGTTTCCTGTAAGTCTTCACAAGGTTGGCACACAATGTTGCTGGTATGTTGGCCCATTCCTCCATGCAGATCTCCTCTAGAGCAGTGATGTTTTGGGGCTGTCGCTGGGCAACACGGACTTTCAACTCCCTCCAAAGGTTTTCTATGGGGTTGAGATCTGGAGACTGGCTAGGCCACTCCAGGACCTTGAAATGCTTCTTACGAAGCTACTCCTTCGTTGCCCGGGCGGTATGTTTGGGATCATTGTCATGTTGGAAGACCCAGCCACGTTTCATCTTCAATGCCCTTGCTGATGGAAGGAGGTTTGCACTCAAAATCTCACGATACATGGCCCCACTCATTCTGTCCTGTACATGGATCAGTCGTCCTGGTCCCTTTGCAGAGAAACAGCCCCAAAGCATGATGTTGCCACCCCCATGCTTCACAGTAGGAATGGTGTTCTTTGGATGCAACTCAGCATTCTCTCTCCTCCAAACATGATGAGTTGTGTTTCCACCAAACAGTTCTATTTTGGTTTCATCTGACCATATGACATTCTCCCAATCCTCTTCTGGATCATCCAAATGCTCTCTAGCAAACTTCAGACGGCCCGGACATGTACTGGCTTAAGCAGGGGGACACGTCTGGCACTGTAGGATCTGAGTCCCTGGCGGCGTAGTGTGTTACTGATGGTAGCCTTTGTTACGTTGGTCCCAGCTCTCTGCAGGTCATTCACTAGGTCCCCCCGTGTGGTCCTGGGATTTTTGTTCACCGTTCTTGTTATCATTTTGACCCCACAAGGTGAGATCTTGCGTGGAGCCCCAGATCGAGGGAGATTATCAGTGGTCTTGTATGTCTTCCATTTTCTAATTATCGCTCCCACAGTTGATTTGTTCACACCAAGCTGCTTGCCTATTGCAGATCCAGTCTTCCCAGCCTGGTGCAGGTCTACAGTTTTGTTTCTGGTGTCCTTTGACAGCTCTTTGGTCTTCACCATAGTGGAGTTTAGAGTGTGACTGTTTGAGGTTGTGGACAGGTGTCTTTTATACTGATAACAAGTTCAAACAGGTGCCATTGATACAGGTAATGAGTGCAGGACAGAGAGGAGCCTCTTAAAGAAGAAGGTACAGGTCTGTGAGAGCCAGAAATCTTGCTTGTTTGTAGGTGACCAAATACTTATTTTCCACCATAATTTGTAAATAAATTCTTTCCAAATCAGCCAATGTGATTCTCTGGATTTGTTTTCTCATTTTGTCTCTCATAGTTGAGGTCTACCTCTGATGCCAATTACAGGCCTCTCTCATCTTTTTAAGTGGGAGAACTTGCACAATTGGTGGCTGACTAAATACTTTTTTGCCCCACTGTACATATAAGCCTATATACACAATACTATACCCACTGGTGTTGCAGAGGAAGGCAAAAAAAACCCCAATAAAGCATGATCCAATTTGTTCCAACATTCAGGTACATATCTTATAGTTGGCAGTCTTTTCTTGAACTTTTTAAGAGTTTAGAGTTAAGCTGGCCATAGACGCTTTGAATCTGGTCCGGTTCAGCAGGGACTGGCCAAGTTTCGAACTGTATTTGGGCAGGTTGATTGTACCCAAGTCGATCTATCTATCGACCTGGGTACAACCAGCAGGTCATATTTTATATGCGATTATTGCCAGCGACCTAAGCCGCTAGCAATAATCGCTCTTGCAGGAAGGAAAATCACATCATCTATGGCCTGCTTAAAAGTGATTGTTTCTATTAGGTTGTGAAACCATTTAGAATGTATTTTGTTGATTAAAAACATTATCTTTAATAAACTCTTAATCAATGTAATTTCTCTCCTCTCACATACAGTTCACATTTCCTATTCCACATCATGGAGAGATAACCATCAGAGCCCCTGGTGATGTCTGGTCCAGACACCAATGTACAGTATTTTAGTTATCTATAGCAGTGGATGACGATTTTTAGAATTTTTTAATATAGTCCTGCCTAAGAAGAACAATCCCTATCACATGAAGCGGGAGTACCCACCATCTACATCAGGAAAGACAATTCAGAACAAGACTCCCCCATAGGCCACATAACAAGATCCAGAGTTACATAGTTACAAATAGTTGCATAGTCAGTCTGGTTGATAAAAGACAAGAGTCCACCTGGTTCAACCCATGGAGAAAAACAAAATTCTTAAACACAAGGGCTTCAATGCGAGGTAGAGGACAAGAGACCTAGAAGAAGTCAGAACCACCACCCAGAAGAAAAAACACTTGATTGGAAAAAGGGGGAACAGATATACCATCAAAGAAGCCCCCTCACTGACCCATCACCGATTGCATGCTATTTATTTCACACCTGCATCCTGGGCCGTGCTATTAGGCCAGGACCAGAGGAGTTTTCATGTAGCAGCCTCCTAGATAGGTGCTAGGATTAGGTCAATTTACTTCTGGTTCACTGTATCCACTGGACGTACATTTTTGTTGTTATGCAAATTTAGGTTTGGCTCATGGTAATCAGTGTTGCTGTTTGTGATTGCTTAGGTCTGTTCTGTATTTCACAGAATGCAGGTTTGATTACTCCTCCTGCAATCTAGTACCCTTTGGGTGGTTCAGCAACATCGGTGTGGAGTAAGGTAAATGAGCAGCATTAATATTTATACCAACTCAGCCAATCCTGGTGGGAGACTGTACAGATGGTTGTTGGGAAAGTGTATAAATAGTTTGACACCTAGAACAGAATTGTCTTTTCCCTGTGGAGGAGATCACAGCCTAGAGGGAGTCTGATTGCCTCCTAAGCCCACCTGCCATGTGTTTGCTGTTCATCACGGTCCCAGCTGGGCAAGCTGGGGGGCCAGGTATTGCTGGAAGTTACTGAAGCAGGCTGAGGGCCCTTTCTCTATGGATCTAGTCTGGTAACACTGGAAAAGTGTCTGGAAGGCACTGGAAGGAGGCAGCAAATGTTTCTGAGTACAGACAGGTGTGAAAGATCCTAGAGACTGTGTGCAGTTGACACCCCTCTGGTGTTAAAAAGTCAACTGTGTGTAAAGGGGACCTAGTGTTCAGTGCCCTGAAGAGCTCAGTCTATTTAATTCCTAGTGTAAGGACTTTGCTTGGACTGTCCAGAGAGGAAGATTAATCTCCTCAAGTTCCTACTACAACTAGTCCATCCCTTTTGTTTTTGTATTTTTTTCCTGTAAAATGGGATTTTTTTTATAAAGAATATCTGAGTTAAAAAAAAATACAACTAGTCCATCCCTTTACTTGTGCAAGGGCTTGGCGCACAGTTCTACCGAAGAGAAGGTGTCCTCCTGTTTGTACTTAGTTTTGGAGTATTCCACTCAATTCCCTATCCCCATCCAAGTTACCCCAAAATAAAAACACCAAAAAGAGAAAACTCCTACTGTAGACTGTTCATTGAGCCACAGAGTGGCTGTGACCATATGCCTGGATGCTATTGGGAAAATATGTGAAACCATTGGGAAAAGAACCCTGGGTATCTATTCTAGCAGCTCCTACAGGGGTAGCGCTACATTTATACCAGCTGGAAGGCCTGTCATTATATAACATGTTAGCACAGAAGCACTTTTCCTTTATCTCCTTCCCCTTTTTTATATGCGGTTTGTTTTTACATGGCGCTTTACTCATTCCAGGCTAGTAGGGTGTAGGTCCTTGGGCTTTCCCTAAAAGTCTTGGGGGGAAGACACTTGTCCTTTTGGACAGGTTTTCCCCCTCCTATGGGGTCTCCCTTTGGGGAGCCCCACCTAGTACTTAGGTAGACCTTACCATGGCAGGTCTCCCAAAAAAAGTGGCCAACCTGGTTTCTGCTAGGTGGACCAGGAGTATCCTAGTCCCTTTCAGGAGTTCTGTGCCTCGGAGGATCAAGACCAGGGACCTTTCTGTACAGAGGAGAACCATGTGTGCAATTTTTTGTGTACTTAATTTTGTATGCACCTTGTGTAAGTTTTAAGTGTGCACACTGTGCCAAGGAGCTTAGAAAAATATGGCAGGATAAGGTTTTTCAGCCTTTTGACTAAGATCAAGTGTTGTATCTGTTTCCTATCAGTCTTCAGGAGGAGGATAGCTGGTGCCTCTTAGGACGGATGGAGCACTGGGAAGAATGATAATTTGGCTGCCTTCAGGGAGTAAGGCAATGCTACACCAATATTGTACTTTTCAATATAAATAAACAAAATTTTTAAAAATATCCCTCAGAGCTTCAATCTTTTGGCAGTGCCAATGTACAGTCTCTCTAGGTTTTCTCAGAAAAGCATGTTGGACGAGTAATGTCATCAGCAGGCAAGAGGACACATTTCCTTTTTTTTTCCTTTCCCCAGTGACCACTTGGTTCAGTAAAGTGTACTGATAAGTCACGTTGTGAGAGGCTGTGGGAGGACTGATTTCTGTGAGTCCCTGATTTTTCACTGGCATGTCATAAGATGAAAGGCATTAGAGAAACAATGGTCAGCTTACTTGAAACAGTGGACAGTAAATGTGGCCCCTGACATCACCAAAGTGCGCACATAATGTATACTGAATGTAACACTAGAGAATGCTGTCAGAGATTGCAGGCATGTAACAGGAGATGGTTGGAGATTATAGACATACTACATGAGATAGCCAGAGACTGCAGACATTCTATAGGAGATGATCAGAGACTGCAGATATACTGCAGAAGATGGCCAGAGACTGCAGACATACTGCAGAAGATGGTCAGAGACTACAGACTCACTACAGGAGATGGTCAGAGACTGCAGACATACTACAGGAGATGGTCATGGACTGTAGACATAGCACAGGTGAAGGTCAGAGACTGCATTCATACTCCAGGAGTTGGTCAGAGACTGTAGACACATAGTAAAGGAGGTGATCAGAGACTACACAACACAGAAGAGGGTCAGAGACTGCAGGCATACTACAAGAGATGGTCAGACACTGCAGGTATACTATAGCTTATGGTCAGAGATGGCAGACAAAGCTCCCACATTTGTACAGATGTGTAACAGGAGGTGGTCAGAGATTACAGACATACTACATGATTAGAGATGAGCGAATCGAACTTGGCGAAGTGGAATTCGTTTCGAATATTAGGAAAAATTCGATTAGCGCCGAATCCAAAAATTAGCATACTTCGGTGCGCGAATCGAAATTTTTCCAAAAATGGCGGCGACATGTGTGGCGACGGAGCGCGGGGATCTCTGGTAAGGTGCGCAGACAAGGCACGCTGACCCATAATGCATTCATTCATGACATGTGATCGCATTAGCCAATCAGCAGCCAGCCAGCCAGCACTGTGTAATGGTGGAGCTATAAATTGCGGCCATCTTACAATTCTCCATTTGCCTCCGGTCATTCAAGAGAGACAGACCTCTCTGTATTAGGGACAGAGTTAGGGCCACAGATACTTTAGGGACACAGAATCGTTACTTAGGGACACAGAATTGTTACTCAGGGACACAGAACTGTTACTCTGGGACAGACACAGAATTGTTACTGAGGGACACAGAATTGTTTACTGAGGGACACAGAATTGATACTCGGGACACAGAACTGTTACTCAGGGACACAGAACTGTTACTCAGGGACAGACACAGAATTGTTACTGAGGGACACAGAATTGTTACTGAGGGACACAGAATTGTTACTCAGGGACAGACACAGAATTGTTACTGAGGGACACAGAACTGTTACTCAGGGACACAGAACTGTTACTCAGGGACACAGAACTGTTACTCAGGGACACAGAATTGTTACTCAGGGACAGACACAGAATTGTTACTGAGGGACACAGAATTGTTACTGAGGGACACAGAATTGTTACTCAGGGACACAGAACTGTTACTCAGGGACACAGAATTGTTACTCAGGGACACAGAACTGTTACTCAGGGACACAGAATTGTTACTCAGGGGACAGACACAGAATTGTTACTGAGGGACACAGAATTGTTACTGAGGGACACAGAATTGTTACTCAGGGACACAGAATTGTTACTGAGGGACACAGAACTGTTACTCAGGGACACAGAACTGTTACTCAGGAATCAGAAGAACTGTTACTCAGGGACACAGAACTGTTACTCAGGGACAGACACAGAATTGTTACTGAGGGACACAGAATTGTTACTGAGGGACACAGAATTGTTACTCAGGGACAGACACAGAATTGTTACTGAGGGACACAGAATTGTTACTCAGGGACACAGAATTGTTACTCAGGGGACACAGAATTGTTACTCAGGGACACAGAACTGTTACTCAGGGACACAGAATTGTTACTCAGGGACACAGAACTGTTACTCAGGGACACAGAATTGTTACTCAGGGACAGACAGAAAATTGTTACTGAGGGACACAGAATTGTTACTGAGGGACACAGAATTGTTACTCAGGGACACAGAATTGTTGCTCAGGGAAACAGAACTGTTACTCAGGGACACAGAATTGTTACTCAGGGACACAGAATGTTTACTCAGGGATACAGAATTGTTACTCAGGGACAGACACAGAATTGTTACTGAGGGACACAGAATTGTTACTGAGGGAACAGAATTGTTACTGAGGGACACAGAATTGTTACTCAGGGACAGACACATAATTGTTACTGAGGGACACAGAATTGTTACTGAGGGACACAGAATTGTTACTCAGGGACACAGAATTGTTACTCAGGGACACAGAATTGTTACTGAGGGACACAGAATGTTACTCAGGGACAGACACATAATTGTTACTGAGGGACACAGAATTGTTTACTGAGGGACACAGAATTGTTACTCAGGGACAGACACAGAATTGTTACTGAGGGACACAGAATTGTTACTGAGGGACACAGAATTGTTACTCTAGGGACAGACACAGAATTGTTTACTGAGGGGGACACACAGAATTGTTACTGAGGGACACAGAATTGATACTCAGGGACACAGAACTGTTACTCAGGGTACACAGAACTGTTACTCAGGGACACAGAACTGTTTAACTCAGGACAGGACACAGAATTGTTACTGAGGGACACAGAATTGTTACTGAGGGACACAGAATTGTTACTCAGGGACTGAGACACAGAATTGTTACTGAGGGACACAGAAAACTGTTACTCAGGGACACAGAACTGTTTACTCAGGACACAGAAACTGTTACTCAGGGACACAGAATTGTTACTCAGGGACAGACACATAATTGTTACTGAGTGGACACCAGATATTGTTACTGAGGGACCCAGAATTGTTACTCAGGGACAGACACAGAATTGTTACTGAGGGACACAGAATTGTTACTGAGGGACACAGAATTGTTACTCAGGGACAACAGAATTGTTACTCAGGGACACAGAATTGTTACTCAGGGACAGAGAACTGTTACTCAGGGACACAGAATTGTTACTCTAGGGACACAGAACTGTTACTCAGGGACACAGAATTGTTACTCAGGGACACAGAACTGTTACTCAGGGACACCAGAATCGTTACTCAAGGACACAGAATCGTTGAATTAAAGAGTATGTCAGACAACACGCAGAGGAGTGTCAGAGGAGGCCATGTTTTAGGAGCGAGCAGGACGTGGGCAGCAGAGGAAGGGGTCGAGGCCAGCACTAGTCGCAGCCAGAGGCCAGTTGCTCCCGGTGTCATCCAGCGGTCGTGTCTCCACCGACAACCCTGCCGTCATCGATTGGTTGGCTCGGTCGTCTTTCCTCTTCCCAGGTCACCTCTGACACCTACAGCCAACGGTCGGTATGGGTACTTCGTCGACACAAAACGTTAGTTGGCATGGCCCGCGGAGCAAAGCCCACTGAAACTCACGTGTCCTCCTACCTGCCCCCTGTCCTTTGGTGTTCCATCACCAAAGCGAAGTATCGCATGTCTGTGTGGGCTCAGCCTCACTGGTACAATGAGGAAGAGCTAACAGAGGCGCGGACAGGAACGGGGGGAGACCTATCCGCCCCTCTTCAACAGCCAGTCGATAGAAGTAACATGGCGAGGAGAGTGGCTCGGTAAGCCGGTCTAGGAGGGACCAGGTCTGGGGGGGGGTTTCTTTCCTGACCCCACAACGCAGCCGATGGGGCTTAGTAGAGAGGCGGAGACCCTAAATTGATCGATGATGAGGCTGATCGCAGTTGGCAGCCTCGTTGTCATCAGCGCCTATTTTCTTTCCGGCATCATCAGGAGAAAGAGGGTGGCCAGCTTGGCAGCGAGCGCAAACAGCTCGGGTGGGTTGCCAAACAGGGAGCTGCAGCAAGGTCGCTGCAGTGTCCAGTGGAGGCAAACGGCCAACGGAGTAGAGCACCAGCTCCACTTGCAAGCTACCACCCGGCAAGTAGTGGTGCCGGTGTTGCACACGGAGGAAGTAGCAGCTCAGCCAGTGAGGAGTAGCGGGGGGCAAAGTTTCCTACTCGGCGGTGTGGCAATTTTTCGTCAAGCCGCCCGAGGAAGTAAACGTAGCCGTATGTCGATATGGTGGCCAGAAAGTCAAGCGTGTGGCCAGGGGGGCCCATGTTTGGTACTACAAGCGTTGCGTCAGCATATGAAGCGTCGCCATTCTCGGTTGGCCTGGGAAAAACCGCTGATAATAGATAACGGCGGGTTCTGCCTGCCCCCAGCCCCCGCTACCATCATCCCCCCGCTATCCGTTTACTTGCTTCACGTCACCCGACCGTCAATCGCCCTATAACAGCCAGTCAAAGGCACCATACACCTCTGCTGGATAGGGTAGTTGTCGCGCGTAATGGCCATCTTCCGCTCGTTCTGATGCCGGGTCCTATCTCCTGCTACTCCTCCTTCACGGGATTCCGTCAGCAGTCTTTCTTGGAATCCTGCGAGGTTTCCCAAGGACAACAGTGTTGCCGAGCACGCACCCGCGGGTGCAAAAGCTGAACATCCTCCTGTCCAAGTTGCTGGTGGCTGCAGTCCCCTCCCTTTTCCAAGTGGTGGACTCAGCACCTATCACGAGATATGATGGCTTGTGACGCCGCAGCGGATGAGAGCGTGCCAAAGCCCGGCATTTCTTCGCCAAAAAGGCAGTGCCACGCCCTGCATTCACATGTAGAAGAGATGGTGGGCCAAGTCTTTTGAAGCATGTCGGTCTCTGCCAAAGTGAACGGCAGCGCCGACGAGTGTGAGTCTGTAACTACGGTCAGGGACGGAGTACATGTCATTACGGGCCCACGGGGTGAAACGTGGGTGCCGGCACAGCCGCACCAGCAAACTTGGAAACGGTCACGCCGCTTTTTGGGGCCTCACGTTTGCAGTCCTTGGTCAGCAAAGATGTCCGCCTCTACACCTCTTCTTCCGCAGTGTCCTCAGCGCCACCCCCGTGCCAAGTCCCATTACAGACCAGCATATCAGCATGTGCAGGGGCGCAACGGTGTACGCTGTGCTGCACCTGGTATGCTTGGCGAACGTTAGTCAACACAGGGGGAAGAACTTCTGAGTGTAATGAACAGAGAAATCGACAGATGGCTGTCTCGCAGCAAACTGAAAATCGGAAAACCATGTTGCCGGGAAAAACGGAAAAAACCTTGGTGTTGCTCTGCGTAAAGGGGAAGGTTGTGCCATGGGGGCCCATGGGGCCCTCACGTGTTCAATCTGGGGGTGGGCAAACGGGTTCCTAAAATCCACCATCCCCCTGCAAGACATCCTTAAAAAAAGTCAAGTTAAAATTTTTTATGCATTTCGCCATTCCTAACTGCCCAAAACACAAACCCTTTCCCTTTAGACTGCAGCGGCAGAACGGAATTCCACCCGCATCGCCCGATCTGGGGGTTTTTCAACAAGGGGGGGAATTAAAACCTACATATGTTAGACCCCCCTTTACGAACACGAAAGGCCATCAACCCTTTTTTTGGGTGTTTTCAAGGGATAAGGGTTTTTTTCCCCGTGTTAAAATTAGATTTTTCAGCCATTGGCAGCTCTTTTGGTTTACACCCGCCGCTTGCTAGGCCCTTTGAGGAGGCCAGTTTGGGGTGGCCCGGGGGCTATGGGGGATGAACGCTTTATTCCCTGTTGCATTCCCGGAACAAATGGTTTTTAAAACCCCAATTTTTGGGGGGTTGGGTTCGGGGGTTTCGGTAGA